TGACTGCTAACCAGAAGGCTGGCGGTTCGAACCCATAAGCCACTCCTTGGAAGGAAAGTTAGGCAATCTACTTCCGTAGTGATACCGCCTGGGAAACCCAAGGAGGGGTGGATCCGACTCCATGGCAAACAGAGCAAGAAGCTGCCTTTTTGAAAACCGTGTACTTGGTTCCTGCGTCCAGCAGATGGCGCTCTTATCCTGAGGCATGGCCTCTGTCGGTACTCCAGCAGCCTTCAAATCCTATGATTTCCCTTTTTCTTCCTGGGATTTTAATACTGTTTTTCTAGAGCACCCAGGAGGGACAGGAATCATCTTTCTACAAGCAGCAGTCCCTGAGCGGGATAATCCTCTCTGACACTTAAGGAATCAATACCAATTATCCATGCCACAGTAGCAACCACAACTCTGTCATTGAAGTGGCCCCAGGCCTCTACCCTTGAGATCTCCTTAGCTTCCGTTTCCCACTGGGAATTTACTCAAACTGTCAGTTGAACCCTCTATGGGGACTTGAACCCTGGAATCTAGTAGGCATGCCTCAGGAGAGGCTCTTTCTCCTCAGCCCCTTGTTAGTCTTGGTACCACTTCCTCCCCACTGTGTTTCCTGGTGTCTCTTCAATGCTGTGAGGAGCTCTGGTGGCTCAGTGCTTAAGGCATTTGACTGCTAACCAGAAAGTTGGCGGCTCAAACCTATCAGCTGCTCCATAGAAGGAAGATGGGAAATCTACTTCTGTAAGGATTTATCACCTTGGAAACCCAATAGGGGTTGCTACGAGTAAGAATTGACTCCCTGACAGTAGGTTTGGTTTTTTGGTTTGATGAGTGCTGTGTGCTCGGAGGCCTGCTGTCTTCCACCCTAGCACTCACTGCTGCAGCTCCCTGGCTGTTTCCAGGTCACCCCTGCACCTAGCAAATTCTGCCCCTACAGGTCTGGTAGAGTAGAGATGTGGGCACTAGTGTCCTACCGAGCCTCAACAGTTTGGGTCTTTCTCTGGGGAGTTCCTCAGCACTCGGATGGGGGTGTCTGTCCTAGCTGGGGATCCAGAGACCTTGTTCCCTCCGGTTAATCATTAATCTAATCCTCTTTAAAGCAGCAGGGTTGTGGTAGAGGAGGAGGGGTCATGGGACAAAGAGAGAGCGTGTCTCTAAGCCAGGAAGCAAAGCACTTTTTAAAAAGCTTACTGGTTGGTTGTGGTTGAGAATACACACAGCAAAACTTACACCAATTCAGACATTTCTACACTTAGGATTCAGCGACATTGATTACAGTCAAGGTGTGTGACCATTCTCACCCCTTTTTTTTTTTCCTATTTAAAAATTTTCTTTTACTTATTTTTAACTTTTTATTGAGATTTAAGTGAAAATTTGCTGAGCAAATTAGTTTTCTATTCAACAGTTTATGTCCATTCCATTTTGTAACATTGGTTGATTGCAAACCCCACCATGCCCAGAAGTTCTTCCTGCTTCCTCCCTGTGTTTCCTGTTTCCACTCGGCCTTCTTTCCTACTTCCTGCCTCCTGAGCTTTACCCCCAGGCAGATGCTGCTCTTCCATCACATATGGTTGATTGTTTTAAGGGGTGCATTAACCTTTCTTTCTGAGTTGTTCTCCCCGATGAACAGAAACTCACTGCTCCCCAAGGTTCCTGGCTCATCTTTGGAGTTGAAAGCAAAGCACTTTTGACTTGAGCTGTGTGGGCAGCTGCATGACACTTACCCGGATGATCTTTCGGTGTTTGCATCTCACCCTCAGTTCTGTATTGAATAGCAAGGGCCTCGTTGTATTTTAAGCTTTGGGGACTCTTTCATTCAGCAGCAATATTGCCTTTTGCCCAGAGGAGAGTGAGCCGTCACCAAGGCAGCGTAGATGGCTTGCTTCAGTCCTACCTCTCTGCTCAGCCTCATTAATAGTGCAGTGAGAGTGTCTTACTAGTCCCCTTGCCCACCACTTGGGTGAAAATACTCCCTACTGGATTCTAAGGAATCTTATATCCTCTAACCCAGTCCATGGGGGCCCTGGTTTTTTCTGTTACAGAAAGCTATGTCTCTTAACATCCCATAAAAAAAAAAAACTCACTGCCATCTGACTCATAGTAACTCCTCCTTGGGTTTCCAAGGCAGTATCGCTAGGGAAGTAGATTGCCTAATCTTCCTTCCAAGGAGTGGCTGGTGGGTTTGAAATGTCAGCCTTCTGGTTAGCAGTCAAATACCTTAGGCACTGTGTCACCAGAGCTCCTCAATATGCTATATTTGTCATCAAACCTGTCAGGATCTGGGATTTTATTTTACTGTATTCACAAGCTGGTAGTATAGTGCCTAAGGCACTTGACTGCTAACCAGAAGGCTGGCAGTTCAAACCCACCAGCCAGTCCTTGGAAGGAAGGTTGGGTAATCTGCTTCTGTAGTGATACTGCCTCGGAAACCCAAGGAGGGGTTGCTATGAGTCGGGTGTGACTCAATGGCAAATAACAACATTCACAAGCTAATTAAAGTTAGCCTGTTACTGTTCTATGGATCCTAGCAGAAGATAGGAGATTCCTGGGTCAGAGACAGAGAACTTATTTTTATTTTTTTTTTCCAATGGCTTAGTGAAAGGCTGAGCATCAGCGTGTTAGCATCAATTCCCTTGCTCCCAAAGTCCCATATGACACCAGGGGTCCAGGTGGATGCCTGCACCTGGGGTGGGTTACATGTCAGATGAGGAGTATTGAACTTGGGGAATCTGCTTTTGGTCCCAGAGGGAGACATTACCTCTTCCCTCAAGGTTGCTTGCTACAAATATAAGTCTGAGAAATGGTCCCAGTAAAAGTGGTCAGGGCCTTGGATTCTTGGCATACCCAGCAAGACTTCTGGGAGCAGGAGAGACCTGTGGAAGACTGTCTCTCCCAACACAAACAAGCAATAAAAGCCAAGAGGAAATGGGACTGTTACTACTAGTTTTACTTGGCCAAGTTTTAAAGTAAAATCTCATGCCACTTTATCAGTATGTTTCCAAGCAAAGTTCAAAACAAACCACAAGTATTGGGACAGTTTAAATAACGCCTAATGTGTGTGGTCCTTTGTAGGCTACAGAGTTCTTACACATATGTTATCTGAGTTGAACCCTAACTCAGATTAGGGAGGGGAGCATGGCAGATACTATTATTGTCTTAATTGTGTAGATGAGAGAAGAAGTCCAGGGAAAATGGACAATTTTTCCAGGTCATGCAGTTAGTAAGTGGTGGAGCTGGGGCTGGACCTTTCTCTTCTTTCTGTAAATCTGTTTTGTCACACTGTTTCGATATTATTTCTCTTTGACATCACCAGGCCACCGTGCTTACCTATCATCTGAGGTCAAGCAGTGTGTATAACAGATGCAGAACTAGGTTCATTCTCTTGTCCATCTGTTGGAATTACCAAGTAAATGCAAGAATATCACAACTTTAGGGAAAGCCTGCTTTGCTCTTGTGTGGTAGGTGGGTGCTGACTGTTTATGGAACTGGTCTGGAGATGGGTAGTCACAGAAAGCATCTCCTGAGCTGTAGGGGACTGAAGAACAGGAATCAGGCCTTATTGAAGTCTTCATGTATGGTGCAAACACTTAAGTGCTCAACTAGCCAAAAGGTTGGCAGTTCAAACCCATGCAGCATGTTTCAGAAGCCAGGCCTAGATACTTGCTTCCAAAAGGTCACAGCTGTGAAAACCCTGTGGAGCAGTTCTACTCACATGGGTTCACCATGAGTCAAAATCAGCTTGATGACAGCAACTAACGACAAGAAGTGTGTAACGGTTTATGAGATTGTGTGGAAGAACAAGATTTTGCATTGTGTTTGAAAGCTAACCTGTTAGCTTATTTACTTACAAAGTAAGTTACGTAACAAGGTTAGGTTTTAGATATGTTCCCAGTTTAGTAAGAAAACCCTCCACTTTTATATGCTGGTTAATTATCATACGCTTAGTGAGATCAGAGTCAGCCAGATAATCATCACAAAGTCAGACTCCTGTGAGTCTTCCTGGGGCTGACAGCCTGGCTCTGTAGGAATGGTTTCTACTAACAAGCATCATCTCAGAGTCAGAGGTTCGCAGGCTTGTAAAAAAGTCTTGATACAAACTTGCCCAAATTACAGGAAAGCTCTTTGCCCTTTTAAAATAGAACCTCAAGATACAGAAGACCTATGGATTTCACTTATATTCGGGAGCTGGTGGGTAAATATGTGCTCATGTTTCTTAGCTCTCTAAATAAAGATCAGTGAGCAGCTCAATGACTTGCTTCCGCAGACCACTTGTGTCAAAAGCTTTTTTTTTTTTTAAATCCAAACTTTCTCATTGCTTGACCCTTAGAGCCTTTGGTTTTAACTATAGTTTTAACCATGCTTAATTAAGGCTATTTGAATTTTATGATGAATCAAAATTCTCATTTCTTTCTCTGTTTTTCCTTTAGTTGGGATGAGACTCACTTCGGAAAAATGGGAAGTTACTATATCAACCGCACCTTTTTCTTTGATGTGCACCCACCTCTGGGAAAGGTGAGCAGTGTAATGACCACAGCTCTCTGAACTGTGAGGCTGCCTCAAACCCTGCCAGTTGGATTGGAGCCAAGTATTGGCTTTGGATCTAGTTCTCGAGCTTATAGAAGTAATTTCCAAAATATTCCAAACCAACCACTTTTGTGGAAAATCTTTGATGTTTTTAAGGACATCAGGATTCAGAACTGGAGACAGAAACATCAACTAATGAATGGATAAATAAAATGTAGTTTATCTATACAAAATCCTAAAACCCACTGCTGTCAAGTTGATTCCAACTCATAGTGACCCTACAGGCTAAAGTAGAACTGCCCCGTAGGGTTTCCAAGGCTGTAAACCTTTCCATAAGCAGACTGCCTCTTCTTTCTCCCATGGACCTCTCGGTTAGCAGCCAAACAGTTTAACCACTGTGCTATCAGGGCTCCTTGGTTTATTATACAGTGAAATAGTACTGAGCCAGAAAAAGGAATGAATTACTGATATATTCTACAGCATGGATGAACTTTGAAAATACTGAGCTAAGCAGAAGAAGCTAGACACAAAAAACCACATTTGTATGATTTCATTTCTATGGATTATCCAGAATAGGAAGATCCATAGAGAAAGGAATTGGATTAGCAGTTGCCAGGGGCTGGGGAAGGGAGAAATGGGGAGTAACTGCTCATGGGTATGGGGGGTTTTATGGGGTGATGAAAATATTCTGGAATTAGGTAGTGGTGATGATTGTGGAACTCTGAATATACTAAAAACCACTGAATCGTATACTTTACAATGGTGAATTATATCTCAGTTAAAAAAAAAAAAAGGAAGAGAAGGAATACATTGCATAAAGCACAACTAACTTAGAGATCTGACCATCCACATGGGAGCTCAACTCCTTTCCCTCTTCCTACCCCTTGATACACATTGCAGCTGCTCTTGTATGTTTTATAGGTAGAAATTCCATCAATCAGAATTTATTTTAATCTTTTAGAAACAAACACCTATGAGAAGACTAATGGGTTAGTCCTGGCATCATCTGGTCCCTTCTTCCTAACCGGAGGCTGAGATCTTGAGCAGAAGAGGGACAGGGATTTTCCTGGGATGGAGTAGGGAAGTGCTCTGGGAGCTTGGAGTACTTGGGGATGAAGGCAGTGGGTGTAGAGCAGGGATGGGTGATCTGTGACAGGTCAGCGTGAAAACAAGGGGTGGGGACCAGGGAGAAGAAGGGACCTATGAGTGAACGGGGTAGAGAGGGGCAGGGAGCCTATTTTTAAATTAGCTCTGAGCCTAGGAAAGGAATACTCATGTTTTGCTCTTCTTATCTCCTTTACAACAATAAGAATAGGAGCAATTGAGCAGTTACTCTATTCTGTCACTTCAGATGCATTAACTCATACAATCCTCAGAACAACCCTATGAAGTATGCACTGTTGTATCCCCATGGGGCACAGAGAGGTTAAGTAACCTGCCAGAGGGCACACAGCTACTAAGTAGCAGAATCAAGGTTCTGACTGATTTAGAGCCTGCTCTCTTAACCATTACACCACACTGTGAACTCGCCAGAACTCAGACAATCTCTTATTACCATAGAATTAAGCAACAAAACTGTGGGGTGAACTGCCTTAGGCTAGCCTGGGAATCATACCTCTGATAGAAGAGAGAATCTGTGGGAGACCCTGCCCAGTCTTTCAGCTGGGGACAGCTTCTTCTTTCTTGGGTCCCCTAGTGCTCAGTACAGTGTAGACACGTAGAAAATATGACTGGTTTGTTTAATTTACTTGAGCCTGTCCTTCCTCACATCCGACCTCTCACAGGAAGTGAGAGTGAGGCTGCTGGCAGGGAGTGGTCCATCTGCCACCTAATTTGTCTCCTGGTGGCTCTGCTCCGCCTGGCTGAAAAAGCGTGACAGCGAGTGGGAAACCCGTGAGAGAGCAAGTAGCTTCATATGTTGTGAGGCCAGGCCAAGGAGAGACTCATAAAGCGCCTCCAGATGGCACATGGGAAGTGTTCTCCCATGCCACTGAGGCCACTAACTGCCACTTCTCACTCACTGAGGCCACTAACTGCCACTTCTCACTGGTTCCCAACCCTAGCTAGGTGCCCAGAGGCTCTAGAAAAGTAGATACTTTGTTTTTTTCTTTAAAATAAAAATGCCTGCACATAGTAAAGGAAAATCAACTCAGGGGCTATAAATGGTCAAAAGCCCCGTCTCTTCACATGTCCCCCAAAGTTCACCATAGTCACCTTTTTAAATGGTTTCTAATATATCCTGCTGGGAATTTTTTATGCATATATAAGTTTGTATATTTTTACATATGGGCACATGAGTAACATTACATGTACACACATACGTGTGTATATATACATATATATATATACATAATCCTTTTGATAAGCACAAATGGAATCAGACTAAAATCGTTCAACAACTTATGTTTTAAATGTGATATATCTTAACATTTTTCCACATTAGCACATAAAGATGCATTCCCTTCTGTTTGCTCTGGGCAGCGCAAATGTTTAAGTGCTCAGCTTGTAATGTTGGTGGTTTTGAGTCCACCCAGAGATGCCTTGGAAGAAAGGCCTGGTGATCTCCTTCTGAAAAAAATATCAGCTGCTGAAAACCCTGTGGAGCCCAATTCTGTTGTGACACACGTGGGGTCTCCATGAGTTGGAATCGACTTGATGGCAACCGGTTCAGTACAGCACAGTTGTCGCTGATTTACAACAGGGTTCCGTTCCAATGACGCTGAAATAAGTCAGTTCTGACCTAAGTCGAATACCTCTTTTTTTTTTTTTTTTTCAATTTTTATTATTGCTATCTTTTATCATCAGTATCTTTATAAATCCAATCTTTGTCTTTAGGGATTAGAAACATTGCATATAAACTTACAGATATATTTTAATACAGGCATACAAAAAAATACACAAATCATAAAAAAGACAGTTGTAAGTGCAGTTCATGGTAACTTAAATATGTCATAAGTTGTAGATATACCATAAATTGTTTTACTCTTCTTCAGTTGGTGGGAACTTATGTTATTTCCAGTTTTTAGCTATAACAGAAACTATTGTTGTGAACATCCTTGTACATTTATAGTTGCGTAGTTGTGCATGTATATCAGAAAGATTCGTAGCAGCCAAACCAAAGAGTCGAAAGATACACACTTTTAACATTGTGTTAGATATTGCCAAGTTTTCCTGCAAAACTTCTGTGACAATATATACTCCCACCAGCAGTGTATGGGGAGCTTGCTTCCCAACCATTGCCAGCACTGGGACATGCATACTTTAAAAATGGTGCCAATTTGAGAATAAAAATGGTATATCACTGTTTCATTTACATGTCTATGAGTTAGGTTGAACATTTTCTCCTATACTGACCTTTTTTTTCTCTCAATTTGCCAGTTTTTCTAATAGGTTGTTCATCTTTTTGTTATTGATATGAATGAGTTGTTTAGTTAGGAAATTAGCTCGGGGCTACTTTTAACATTAAAGGAAATGTCAGGGTCTGACTTTTGGGAGCTTATTAAGTACCTGGCACAGTGCTAGGTGTTTTCCTATAGCATCACCTCTAATCCTCAGAGCTCCTGCAGGGAAGGTTTACTCACCTAGAGCTCAGAGATATTACATCCACAGGCACACAGTTAGTATGTGGGGTGCTGAGACTCAGACCCCTGTGCTGTTCTTCCCTCCACCAGACCAGCCAAGCCTGGTCATTTATGACCAGCACAAGCAGGCTTGTCCTCCACGGTCCCAGGTGGGAAGGGGCATGCATCTGCTAGCCCCTGTCAGTTTTAGTTCATCTAGGTATTTGGATAGCCCTGCCTCTTCAATGCCTTATATTTATATTAAATTAGTTTTACTGTACTAAATTAAAG